AATCTGGACCGTTGGATGGATGGAAACCAACGGTCCCGATTGAGTCGCTTAACAAAACGGGGCTGTTTGGTTTAGGGCTGGGGATTGGGTCGGGTTGGACCAGGTACATGGGTGTTTGAATTGCGCTGTAAGGATTTGGGCCTTGGGGATTAAATTAATTTTGGCCCAATTCCGATTTCCTTTTCTTTTATTAATTATTTTCTTCCTAAATTGTCTAAAAAAATTAAAACCAAAATCCCAACTCAAATTATAAAACCTAAATTGACTTAAAATACTAATCCACTTCAAATAATATTTATCACAAATAATTAAATACTAAAAATAAAACAATCACATAATTTGACATTAAACACTTTAAAAATGTAAAGTACGTTATTTTTTGTGCATTTTTCATTTTTTGTAAAAATAACATTTTACTAAATTAACCAAAAATGTAAAATCAAATCCTAAGTGCAGATGCTATATTTTGGTATTTTTAATTTAAAATTAAATATGCAAACAATCAAGAAAATTGCACAGTAATTCCTAGAATAACACATAATTAAAGAAAAAGTCTAATTTGAGAATTCTTTTGGAGTAATTCATGTGAGGCAAAAATCACGTGCTCACAGTAAGTGGCGAGTTTGTGTAGATTATACTGATCTAAATAAATCTTTCCCTAAAGATTCTTTTCCATTACCGCACATAGATCAACTAATTGATGCTACTGCAGGGCATAAATTATTAAGTTTAATCAGATTAAAATAGATCCTCTAGTTGAAGAGAAAATTTCTTTTATCACAGACATGGGGACTTAGTGTTACAAAATTATGCTGTTTGGCTTAAAGAATGATGGGACACATACCAAAGGCTAGTGACCAAAATGTTTCAAGAACATCTAGGAAAACCATGAAGGTGTATGTAGATGATATGCCAGTGAAATCACGACAAGCAGGGGATCATATTCAGCACTTGATTGATACATTTCATATTCTTCGCAAATTTAACATGAAGTTAAATCCTGAGAAATGTGCATTTGGCGTGTCATCAGGTAAGTTCTTGGGATTTCTTGTTTCTAACCATGACATTGAAGTAAATCCTGCGCAGATTAAAGCTATTGAGGAAATTCCGGATATGCTTACGATCAAAAAAGAAGTACAAAGGTTGAGTGGAAGAATAACAACCTTGGGAAGGTTTATTTCCAGGTCATCGAAAAAGTGATTCAAATTCTTTTCATCTCTACAAAAGCAAAATCAATTTGAATGGTCTAAAGAATGTCAACAAGCGCTTAAAGATTTAAAAGCGTACCTGTCAAATCCTCCATTGCTAGCCAAATCGAAAGAAGGAGAGAAATTGCTTGTCAACCTTGCTATTTCACAAGTAGCGGTAAGTTCCGTATTAGTTCGAGAGGACCAAGGTAAACAATCTCCGATTTATTACGTTAGAAAATCTTTATTAGATGTTGAATCTCGATATCCTCATTTAGAGAAACTTGCACTAGCATTAATTATGACTTCTAGGAAATTGAGACCTTATTTCCAATGTTATCCTATCTCTGTAGTAACTGCCTACCCCTTACGTAATATATTGCATAAACAAGAATTATCGGGTAGATTAGCCAAAGTGGGCTATAGAGCTAAGTGAATATGACATTACATATCAACCTAGAACTACAATAAAGTCACAAGTTTTAGCAGATTTTAGCCAAGGGATACAATTGGAAGCAGAAAAAGAAATGCAGGTATTTAACAGGTCTAATTCAGTTACTTGGACCTTATTTACTGACGGTTCGTCAAATGTAAAAGGAGCAGGTCTAGGCATTGTCTTGGTACCACCTGCGGGAGAAACCATATGACAAGCCATAAAATGTCATCCTATCACCAATAATGAAGCAAAATATGAAGCTATGATTGCAGGTTTAGAATTGGCACAAGAGCTCAGAATAGAGAAGGTCATAATCAAAAGCGATTCACAGCTCATGGTTAACCAAATGCAGGGGACTTATACAGCTAGAGAAGCAAAGATGCAACAATACCTAGAAAAGGCACGAGATTTGGTCAAACAATTTCAAACATGGCAAGTCATGTAGATACCAAGGGAAGAGAATGTCGAGGCAAATGCTTTAGCTAATCTTGCATCCGCTGCGGAAGTAACAAATGAAGAAAACGCTTCCGTAATACATTTATTTCATTCAGTGCTTGATCAAGATAAAAACGAGTTAAATTACAATGACCTAACTTGGGATTGGAGAAACGAGATTGTCAATTTTTTGCAGTACGGAATATTACTTGAAGATAATAAAAAGGCTCAGGCACTTCACCAAAAGGCTGCTCGTTACTGTTTAAATCAGGGCAATTTATATCGGAAAATGTTCGGTGGCCCCCTAGCAAGATGTCTCGGGCCTTCTCAAACGGAATATATGATGAGAGAAATACACGAGGGACATTGTGGAAATCACGCTGGAGGAAGATCTTTGGTAAAAACCATAATTAGAGCTGGCTATTATTGGCTAAAAATGGAAGAAAAAGCGGAGAATTTTATGGCTAAATGTGACAAGTGCCAAAGATATGGCAACAACATGCATCGACCAACTGAATTATTACATCCAGTCATTACACCATGGCCTTTTATGAAGTGGGCGATGGATATCGTAGGTCCACTTCCACAAGCCAAAGGTAAGGCAAGCTTTCTGTTAGTACTCACCGACTATTTTACTAAGTAGGTAGAGGCAGTAGCCTTGAAACAGGTACGAGAAAAAGAGGTCAGAGACTTAATCTGGCGAAACATCATATGCCGGATAAGGGTTCCAAAAGAGATCGTGTGTGATAACGGCCCGCAATTCATAGGTGCACAAATCACAAAATTCTTACAAAGTTAGCAAATTAAAAGGATTACCTCAACACCTTACCATCTAGTGGCCAATGGACAAGTTGAATCAACAAATAAAGTTATTATCAACAACTTAAAGAAAAGACTAGAAGAGTCAAAGGATAAGTGGCCAGAAGTACTACTTGGAGTCTTGTGGGCTTACCGAACAACAGCAAAAACAAGTACGGGAGAAATACTGTTTTCACTTGTATACGGAGCTGAAGCCTTAATTCCAGTCGAAATAGGGGAGCCAAGTACGAAATATACTCAAGCTACTAAAGAGTCGAATGAAGAAGAGATGCGAGTAAATTTGGATTTACTTGAAGAAAGGAGGGAAACTGCCTTAATAAAGGTGGCAACGCAAAAACAAGTTATTGAGCGGTATTACAATCGGAAAGCTCGTCTCGAATACTTCAAGATTGGGGACTACGTACTCAAGAAAGTTTTCCAATCCACGAGGGCAGCCAATGCAAGGAAGTTAAGTCCAAATTGGGAAGGGCCTTACAAGATTCACGGTATCGCAGGAAAAGGTGCATACAAGCTTGAAATATTGGATGGCAAGATTCTACCTTCAAATTTGAATGTTGTTCATCTAAAGAAGTACTATTTCTAAGGGAAGGAAATACCAACGGTCAGGTATCCCCACTCATGATTTTTATTTTTGAATTGTTAAAATTTTAGATGATAGGCAAAAAGCTAGCCCACCCTAAATGATAAATTTCGACCTGAAAGACACGCGGAAAGAACATAATTCCAAGTAGGGTTACAACTATTCTGATGGAAATGTAATGAGTTAAGTAGTCTTCATCTAAATTGTACCTCCAAGTCTCGTATGTTTTTCCTTTTCAGGAAAAGGACCGCATGGAAGGAATAATCAAGTGTTCGAGATTTCATGCTTCAAAGCTCAAACACTTGGGGGACTATATAATATACATATGATATATGTATATGGAAGGAAAATAAGGTTGAAACAATTAAATTTCAAAGTCAAGCCTAAAGTCTACTCAACAAATATCAAGTTTAGAGCAAAGTCACGAGCCATAAAACGCAAGCCTGATCCAAAAATATATGATTAATACACTCATGGTTACAAATTTCAAACTCCTACGAATGTTTAGGTTAAAGACAGTATTTAGCCATGGGTCATAAAGAAACCCTTGGATTTTCTTTTTTTACAAATCTGTTATAAGGAAAATAGTTACAAAAGAGTTATAGAAGATACTTAAATACATGTAAAGTGTTATTAAAGCTTGACAAAGTTCGAATGAAAACCTTTATCAAAATTATTTCAAGAAACATATGTGTTCATATTTCTCCTTTCGTATGTTTACACCATTATGAAGTTGAGACGTCTTCTTCATTAAGTGTCGTATATAAAAAGGCCCTCTTTTATAATTCATGTTTGATTAAAAAAATCCATGAAATTAACTAAGCATTTCTAAATGCACAAAGTTAAAAGGGGTAAAACAAAAAAACCGCATATTTAAATTAGAATGGAATCAAGACCCTGAACTTACAAAGAAACAAAGCAAGGGCAAATCATTACAAGAGTATAACAGAAACTCAAGTCGAAGGTATTATAAGTTGAAATAAAATTTTTATAATATTCAGTTAAAACTAAGTATAAACTTAGTCCTAACTTAATTGTCATCACAAAATCCCCGAAAAGACCTGGGGATATGTTGTTACCAAAAAACATTACCCCCAAATGGGACTAGGGGTAAAGCCACCAAAAGTTCCACCAACAAAAAAAAGTTAAACTTCACAAACAAACTTTCACTGTGGAGTAGGTTCTGAAGAAGAATTCAAGATGGCATCATCAGCAACAGTAGGCTCGATTTGATCAGAAGGAGCTGGGACATCCACCACACCAGGATTAGCTTCAACATTTTCGGGAGTATCAGCCATGGGTGAAGCAAAGGTTTGGCTTTTCTGAGTTTTTTCTATTGTTTCCTTAATCTTTGCTAACTCAACATCCAAGTTAAAACCTTCCTGGATTACCTCCATAAGAGTATCATGATGCATGTTCAAAATGGCCCAACTTACTTCAACAGCTGCCTTGTCTTCAAGAGCCTCGTATTCTCTTTTCCAATGATCAATTTCACTCTTGAGCTCCTCCCTCTAAGCCAAAGCAGCATCGTAAGAAGACTGTAAAGGGGCAAGAGAACTCTTCAAAAACTTGACCTTATTAGAAGACACTCGGAGATCTTCTTGGGTCTGGGTGAGTGTTTGAACAAGCTCACCAGCATAAACCTCTTTCTCATTCAACAGAGCCTTCAGGCCTCTTGTCTCTTCAGTAGCTTTAGAGAGTTGTTCAACAAAAGATGACTCGAGAAGGTTTTTATCTTTGCCCGCCTGGTTGGAGAAAGCTTTCTCGACTGCTAGCTCCGATGCCATGACTCTTAGTTGTTGCTCTAAGGTACATTTGTTTTCTTCTAAAACTTTCTTCTCAAGCTGAAGATTTTCATATTGCTCTTTTCAATTATCTGCCTCAATCTGGTAATCATGCATCAATTGCTCTGTATGGGAAACCCATTTCATCATCTCCGTACCGATGAGATTGATCTACATAAAAAAAGGGATACTGATCTTAGCAAAAGGAAAATGGAATAGAACATAAAAAGAAGTCTATACCTTCAGTGATGATTGCACGATATAATTCATCCAAGTCAAAGAACTATGACTTTCTAGCTTGGACTTTTCAACTAGACCAATCAAGGGTTTCAACCATACGTCAGCTTGGCCTGACTTCTTCAGAAGATTACCATCGGCAGGAACCTCAATGGTAATTTGTCATCACTCTACTTCCACTTGATGAACCAACTTCAGTTTGAGAAATATTAGTAGCAGGGACTGTAGAGGAAGTCATAATGGCTTGAGGCGGAGCAGAAATAGCAACAGTAAGAACTGGCAAAGAGCATTCCATTGGGACAGATACGGGGAAAGAGGCAAGAGGTACTTCCTCAGACACCAAATCAAAGCCTTTATTATCAAACACACACAAAAAAAGTTGTTCGTGAGAGTCACGAGCTGCCATGGGAGTCTCTTTGTCAGAACTCACTAAAGTGGCTTTAACAGGCTCGGTCACGGGAACAGAACGAGGAGGAGTAACTTCATCATCCGAAATGACGAGTCTTCTAACCCGCGACCTTCTAACCAAAGAACTTCCATCCCATTCGCCCTCCTCTTCAAAATCCTGGGGTTTGTCAGCTTTTCTTTTCGATGAAGAACTCAAGATTATCTCCTGAGCTCTTGCCAAAGAAAGTCTAGAAGCTGCGATTGACTCAGCGGTTACACCATGAATAGGAAACCCTGATAAAAAAAGGGTCAAATACATTCTAAAGAAAGAATGAATAAAAATAGAAGGAAAGGAATAAAGTTTTTACTGTGAGTCTTAACCTTCCAACCAAACCTGTTTGAAAGGTATTTCCAAGATCTAACTTCCATCGGAGCAATGGTCAACAATTTCTCTACCCAACCACGAAAATTGGGAATCTCTTCAACAATGCCCATGGTTGCTGAAAAAAGAAAAGAGAAACAGTGACGGGAAGTACAAACCCTTTCTAAAAAAAGGGAAAAAGAGAAGAAAAAAAGTTGTGAAGAAAACTTATGTGCAAAATTCCACTTTTCAGGGAATGGTATATTTTATTCATCTACTAATCCTACCGTAGGAGAAGCAACAAATCTGGCATACCCGCCACTATCCTTATCATCCTCAGGGCTGATTAAAACCCTCTTACTCCTCGCCACCAAAGTAAAAATCTCATGTCGTAAAACAACTTAGGGTAGTAGAGATGGATCAAATGAAAAAGGTGAAAGGCAATTGAGCCAAATTATCCAAATACCTTAAACATGCAACAACCCTCCATACAATAAGGCTAATTTGTCCTAAACACACATTGAAAAAAGGCAGAATTCAATAATGATTGGATCAATAAGGGGCCTAAAGCCTAAAGTAAAGGGGTACGTATACACAAAGGAATAACCAGCTTTGAAAGAAGTAATCCTTTGATTTGCGTTAGGGATCATAATTGGGAAATCGAACCTCCAATGAAAATCTTTACGAACAACAGAGATCAAACCTTCAGTAATCTTTGAAGGGAAAACATCAGCATGATCATGAGAGGATATAAAGGAAACCTGGTTCCTGATCGATTCTCTATCAGTATAAAAAGAGAGTTTAGAAGGGATAATTTTGTCTACTGTAGGTTCACGGATTGGCTCATTGGAATACCTACTTCTGGCAGAAGACCTATGTGCCAGATAAGCCCTAGTTCTAGAAGATGAAGGAAGAGTGGAACTAGGTAGAGAAGAAGAAGAACCTCTAATAGAAACCGACCCTAGACTATGCAATCTTCCCCCTCTCCTGCTTCTAGTGGGAGCAAGGTGAAGTTCATCTACAATAGGAACTTTTTGGGGATCAGGGTTCGAAGAAGACATAGTTTACGAGGAAGTAGAGAAGATTGAATACTCAAAGATGGAAAACTTTTCTGAGAAAGAAAAGACAAAGGATATATTTATACTCAAAAGCAACTGTCAAACAAAAAGGTAATGATGGGAACATCATAATGAAAACTGTCACTTCGTAATTGATGTAGCCGTAAAAGAGCCTTAAAAGGCGCTGAAGGGTTGCAGAACCAATCAAAAGTCACCACGTGTCACATGCATTAAATAGAAGTGACATGCGAAGCATCAGTTCTGGAGAAGGTTTAATGATATGTGGAATGACGACAAAAATACCCGCTTTAATGAGATCCACTTTCCAAATATTCAATTGCTAAATAAATGACAAGTGGGGGGACTATTTGTATTGGAAAAAAATAACTTAACATTTGAAATTAATTATGTGCTGACATGTCAAGACACATGGATCAATGAAGGAATGACAGCTAGCAAAGAGTATTCAAAGAGACACGAACCTTAATAGGTACGGGCAAAGATTCAAGAAAACAAGTAGGAATGGTTACTCGGATCTCTTGGTAATTTGAAGAGACATCGAAGGAATGAACCTAGATAGCAAAAAGTACATATATATTATCTGTAATTAATGAGCATTAATGATGGGAAACGTTATAGAATCTTCACGAAACATTTACGATTGTCAATTATAACGTTACATTAATACCATTAATTGCTCATAATGGCTCTATTATGAGAGGAAAGAAACGTAGTACTTAGAAATAGCTATAAAAGGAGAGAAATAACATTTGTAAGAGACATATTATTATTGGAATACACTGATTTACTTTGCCTTATTTTGCTTACTCAGTTACTTTTCAATTCAATTCTTCTTTTTCCATTGCATAATTATTTCCTCATTTGATTATCAGTAATCCGAGTTCTTCTAAAATTAAGCTTTGACCGAAATTCCTATTTTCTGGTTAAACAAATAGTACATGCCAAGATAGATATGTGAAGTGTATAAAATAACACGTCTACCGAAAGTGGCAATGTCGACAATACCAATTGTATGTATTAGAAAACATAATATAAATTTTAATTTTATCAAATATCAACGTATAGAGTTACCCCGTCAGCAATATATATCAAAGTATAATTGATCTCCATGAAAACTGGATTCAATAATTTAAACTTTAAATATTTCAATCTCGT